GAGGCGGGGAGAGAGAGATGGCTAAGAATTTGCCAGGGTTGTGGAAGGGAAGAGAGCGAGCCGATTCCAATTGTAACTCTTTAATAGGTGCTCAGCGAGGAACAAGTGGACCTGTCCATTTCAGTTTTGCCACTCTTCCAGTCTTTGGTTCCATTATGCACATTCCCTCACTGGCTTGCCATTTTTTTATTTAAAACCAAACATGGTCGTTTGGGAAATGACCCTAGCTCAGTGACAGTGCATCTGCCTTGCAAGCAGAAAACGCCTGGCTCAATCCCCAACAGTATCTCCAGGTAGGGCTGGGAGAGACTCCTGCCTAAAATCTTGGGAGAGCTGCTGCTCGTCTGTGTAGACAGTACTAAGCTATATGGACCCATGGTCTAGCTCTGTACAATAGAGCTTCCTGTATAAGCCCTCATGAAAACCCACCAGCATTTTAAGTGCAAAATTCTTCAGATGTATACATGTTTGATTGATCAAGTGGAATTATATCCCACCCTTCCTCCCCAAGGATGACAAACAATGACAATTAAAAATATTCTACATTAATATTAATATGGAAGGCATTCTGCAACTGTGGAGCCACCACTGAAGAGACCCTGTCACAGGTCAGCACCAACCAGGCAGCCCCTGGTGGAGGCACCATCAACAAGGCTTCACTTGTCCATTATAATCACAATTTTGCCCAACATACACATTTTGACAATGGAGTTTCCAAATACATTTTCTCATGCTGTTTTCCCCCCACACTATCCTATGCATTTCTATATACACTCTGCCCCCAGTAACTGCATTTCCATACACTTTACCGGGAAACTGCATTGCAGAATATGGAGAAGTGGATGGCTCTGTTTCATCTGGGGTATTGTTTTGGAGAGTGTGACTTAGGTTGGTTCGTCTTTAAATGTGACCTGAATTGAACTGCGTCTCCTTAGCCCTTTGTACAACACAACCTCTTTTCAATGTATGCCAGTTCCTGAAGTTCCCTGAATTTTGGTGCATGACTGTCTACTCTTCCCATCCAGAAATCTCAATAAGTCTAGTGTTTGGGCATGGATCTGTTTGGCAATATTAAAAAAATAGGGGACAATACAATATACAGTTCTAGTCGCCTCACTTGAAAAATGATATTGTAAAACTGGAAAAGTAGTGTCTCCAGTTCTGAGCCTCACAGTTTAAGAAGGATTTTGACAAGCTGGAACGTGTGCAGAGGAGGGCGACCAAGATGATTGAGGGTCTGGAAACTAAGCCTTGAGAGGAACAGTTGAGGGAGTTGGGAGTGTTTAGCCTAGGGAAGTGGAGAGTGAGAGGAGATAGGATAGCCAATAACTGCAGGGCTGTCCCATGGAAGATGGAGCAAGCTTTTTGGGAAGGAACCAAACCAATGGATCCAAATGACAAGAAAGGGGATTACAACTACACATTTGGAAGAACTTTCTAAGGTTGGCTGGCCATCTGTCAGGGGTTCATTAGCTGTGATAATTGCATTAAAGGGGGTTGACCAAAAAAACAACAACCTGGGCGGTGTTCCCTTCAAACCCTACAATTATAGGATGATTATGAATATAATAAATGAATAAAAGATTAAAAAAATAAGTTAATGTGAATATGAATATGTGCTGAAGATTGGAGATTTGTCCATTCCCTGCGCAAAGGAAGGGGCTGAGAAGTCCATCTCCATTGGCAAAACAACTGAAGGACATTTTACATGCATGGGCATCCATAAGACTAGCCCCTTTCTTGTTGCGAGTAAGGAAACCACAGGCATGAAAAGCACCTTTGCTCCCCGTCTGTATCCTGTCCTGCTTCCCTTTACACCTGAGTGTTCATATTCCGCACCCAGCTCCCAACCCAGTGAGGTCACTTCCTCGTATTCTCTTGACTGCCTCCTTTCCTCTTTCCATGTACTTCCTTTCTCCCTTAGATATGCCAAATCTTGTGGCACCAGTCCACTGAGAGGCACTGAGAGGAAAAGATGTTCATTCTGCAAAAAGAGAGAGAGATTGCCAGCCAGCAGTCCTTGGGAAAAGTTATCTGGTGTTGCAACATAAAGAATCAGGGAGGAATCAGCAACTGCAAAGATAGGAGAGTTTATAGGTGCGTTACTTTGGGGCAGAAGCCCAGTCCATTCACTTGGCAGGAGGAGCTGGATGCCCCCTCCCCAAACACCAAAGGAGTGGCTTTTACCATAAGAACATAAACACAGAATATCAGGCTAGATCAATGGGGGCCAATCTAGTCCAGCATCCTGTTCTCAGTGGCCAATCAGGTGCACATTTTGGGAAACCCACAAGCGGGACCTGAGCACAAGAAGCCCTTTTCCTCCTTTGATCTCCAACAACTGGGATTTAGAAACATTACTGCCTCTGACCTTGGACGCAGAGCACAGCCATCATGGTTAGCAGCCATTGAAAGCCTTATCTTCCACGAATTTGTCTAATCCTCTTTTAAAGCCATTCAAGTTGGTGGCCATCAATGGCACCCATGGAAGCAAGTTCCATAGTTCACCTATGTATTAAGAGAGATGCCAAGGTTAGAACCTGGCACTTTCTGCATGCAAAGCAGACAGATGCTCTGACAACTCCAATCATCCTTGAACATTGGCCACGCTGGTAGAGACTGATGGGAGCTGGGGGCTCCATCAACAACTGGAGGGCCACACATCCCCTCCTTCCCATGTCCATTCTTATGATCATCGAGGTAGAGCATAGTCACTGTGACTAGGAGCCATTGATATCCTTATTTTCTGTGAACTTGTCCAATTCTTTTAAATTACAATAATTTGAAATCTTCCAGTGTTAGGCCACATCTGCAGCATACATCTAAAGCAGTATCATACCCCTTTGAACAGTCCTAACTTCTCTCAAAGAATCCTTGAAGTTATTAGAACCCCATTCTCCACAGAGACCTAAAATTCCCATGGTTCCTGGGATGAGGGATTGTTAGTTAAATTTGTGGAAGATTGCAGTCAGACATAACTATGCATGAGTGCTTGTTAGTATATGAAGGGGTTATGACCACAAAGTTATATCCCTAGACTAAGCTAGATCATGCCCCCTCTTCTCTGATGAGGAACTGAAACCTTCTCTTCCTGGTCCCTACCTCTCTCCATGCCATATAACTGACCAAGGGAGATGTGTCTAAGCTTTGCTGCAAGCTTAGAGCACATGTTTGAAGCTACCTTTTTGTATTTTCTACCCAAGAATATTCTGCCTATATGCTCCTAGCTGCTGCTTGGATAAATGTATGCATCTGACCTTTGGAACCTTTTGTAAGTAAAGCATTTTAAACATACTTAACAGTGTATGCTCTGTTTATTGCAAGAGGGGTAGAAAGAGGGGAGCACTTTGCAAGCAGACTAAATGCTATATGCTAAAGGTTTAACAGCCTACATTCCTAACACTTCATTGTGCTGCTTGACTTTTTGAGTTTAAATTCTGCTTCTGGGGGCTGTCTCCTGCTGGAGAGTGTGTAATGCCCCGCATTTTGAATCCAAGCACCCAGACAATTATTTTATTATTTGCCACACAGGGACCTTATATTTTTCCTCCCTCAAAAGTAATCTGGGAATTGTAGTTATTTGAGGGGAATATGGGTCCCCTAACAACTCTAAGCACCTTTAACAAACTACAGGCCCCAGGATTCTTTGGGGGATGCTATGACTGCTGAAAGTGATATGATACTGCTTTGAACAAATTGTGCAGATGGGACCTACAGCATGCTCAGAATTGACCCACTGAAATTCATGGTCACAGTAAACTTAGCTACATGAATTCCAACTGGTCTACTCTGAGAAGAATTTAGTAAGCTGCATTCCATTATTGTCTAAAGAGCCCCCCAACACCATAAAAGTAGTTCTTAGCATGGTCCACCTAGCTCAGTCTTGTCTACACTGACTGGCAACAATAGCCCTCCCAGGGTTTCAGTCAGGGGACATTCCCAGCCCTACCTGGAGATATAATCATGGATTAAATCTGGGACCTTCTGCATGTGAAGCAACTGTTGCCCCACTGAGCTATGTCTGTTTTCCTAAAAATACAACAAGACTGAGGTCCTCAACATTCTGAAAAAATTGATGAAAAACAGGAACATGCCTTCTTCTGAGACAGACTGGTCATGTCAGTCTAGCTCTGTGCTCTCTACACTGACTGGCAGCAGCTCTCTAGAATTTTAGGCAAGGGATGTTCCAAGCCCTACCTGGAGACACTGCCAGGGATTGAACCTGAGACCTTCAGCATGCAAAGCTGATGCTCTACTCATGAAGCTACATTTTCCAAGTCAGACCATTGGGGCCCATCTAGCTCTGTGCCATCTACACTGACTGGCAGCAGATTTCTAGAATTTTAGGCAGGGGATATGGAAATGCCAGGGATTGAACCTGGGACCTTCTGCATGCAAAGCTGCTGCTCTAACTAGGGAGCAGGAAGCCCTTTCCCATCATCTGCCCCCTGCACTCTTTATGTGTGTTGTTGCTCCTGATAGATTAAAAAAAAATTGCATAAAGTCTCACAGAATCATAGAGTTGGAAGGGACCCAAGGGTCATCTAGTCCAACCCCCCTGGCAATGCAGGAATCTCAGCTAAAGCACCCACAACAGATGGCCATCCAACCTATTTTATCACGCCTATGATGAAAGAAAACAAAAACGTAAGTGAAAATATAAAACAGAGACTTGCACACAATGCAAAAGAGGTAGAGAGAGAGATAGATCGTCTGCCATCTCTGTTGCCCAGCTGAGTTTCTGCGCGGTGGTGCAAGGGGCTGTGAGCTGCCTCCTTCTCCCACGGTCTCCTCGCCTGCTGCCTCCCTTGGAAGTCGATACAAAGGCTTCCTATCCCAGCAGCCTCCACTAATGGCCGACCTCGCTGTTGTCCTCAATGCATTGCCTGTCCCAGATACAGCGGCTGGTTGCTGTAGCAACTGAGCTCTGACTAATCATTTGCGCAATGACCTTTTTCCCCCCAGAGGGAGGGAGGCAGGCTTGCAAAGCGAGCTTGGGAGAGAAATAAGCTATAGAGAAGCGAGTCCAGAGCGGAGGCTCCAGAAAGGGGGCGCGGGGAAAGCGATGAGACCCTCGCCCACAATCGGCTTGCATTTCTGGATTTTTCTTTAAACGGGTGATTGCGGTTTTTTGATGCTGCATTTTTGTGGGGCCCTTAGGCAGCTGCCTCTGGTGGTAAAAGCTAGGCGAGGGGGCAGGTGGGAACCCGCCGGTTGTTTATCCTGTGCTGCCCGCCCCTTCTATTCTGCTCAGTGGGAAAATAGGTGGTGGTCTGTGTGTGATCACATCCACAACATCCACATTGAACACCTACTGGAAGAATCCTGAAAATTGTTGTTTGTTAAGGGTGCTGGAAACTGTAGTTCTGCAAGGGGAAAGCAGCAGCTCCCAGGATGCTTTGGGGGAAGCTACTTGCGGGTGGTGCTGTGGGTTAAACCACTGAGCCTAGGGCTTGCCGATCGGAATGTCAGCGGTTCGAATCCACGAGACGGAGTGAGCTCCCGTTGCTCGGTCCCTGCTCCTGCCAACCTAGCAGTTCAAAAGCATGTCAAAGTGCAAGTAGATAAATAAGTACTGCTCTGGCGGGAAGGTAAACGGTGTTTCCGTGCGCTGCTCTGGTTCGCCAGAAGCGGCTTAGTCATGCTGGCCACATGACCCGGAAGCTGTCAGTGGACAAACACCAGCTCCCTCAGCCAGTAAAGCGAGTCGTCCGCGACTGGACTTAATGGTCAGGGGTCCCTTTACCTTTACTTGCGTTAAACATGCTTGAACTGTACAGCATAGAAACACAGAATTGTATATTTTGGAAGGGACCCAGGGGGCGTCTAGTCCATCCCCCTAGAATGCAGGAATCACAGCTACATCACAGAGCCCATCTTCCGTGCATTATATCGGTGTTCTTCAAACGTTGGCCTTCCAGATATTGCTGGACTACAGCTCCCACCATCCTGACTGCGGGTGATGGGAGTCCTGTAACATCTGGAGGGCACCAGGCTGGGCAAAGCTGATCTTAGGTACCAGACCCCATTAACATTTTATCTCAAACTCTGGGGAGAACTTAAGGTTCACACAGGAGAATATGAGACTTGAGATATCTCAGCCCTGGACTACATCAGACTTTTTAAGTCAAGGCCATCATTTTGAATTAAGCCTGGAAACCAGCTTTAAGACCATGTGTCTCTATAGAGGGCAATCCTCTATTTGTAGGCATTATTTGTTGCAGTGTTCTTCAACCCTGAGTGCTCTGGATGCTTCTAGACTACAATACCTATCATCCCTGACCATTGTCCAAGCTGGGAATGATGGGATTTGTGGTGCAACCTTGGGTACCCAAAGTTGAAGAACATCACCATAAATGAAGCTCGTGCCCTCAAGTGTGCTGGAGAATGCTCTCTTCTTGTTGGGAGTGAAATCAGATTCCAGCTGCTATCCCAGCGGGCTTCTGTTTGTGGGATGCTGTCCAGAAGTTGGACTTGTGTGCAATAGCAATTCTCCACACCTCTGATTCCTAGGAAGTAGTACCCAGAGGTATACTGTCTCAGATAGTGGTGGTAGAAGAACAGAAGATCCTGGCTGCTGGATCAGGCCAAAGGGGGCTTATGTAGCTCAGCATCGGTAGAGCATGAGGCTCTTAATCTCAGGGTCGTGTGTCTGAGCCTCACATTGGGCAAAATATTCCTGCATTGAAAGGGGTTGGACTAGATGACCCTCATGGTCCCTTCCAACTCTACTATTATTCTGTCCTGTTCTCAGAGTGGCCAGCCAGATGTGACAGTGGGAAGCCTACAAGCAGGACCTAAAAACAGATCTCCAGCACAGGTTTCCATCAACTGGAATTCAGAAGCGCCCGGTCTCCTGCAGTGGAGGCACAGCATAGCTAGTAGCCATTAATAGCCTTATCCTCCTCCACAAATTTGTCTCATCCTCTTTTAAAGCTGTCTAGGTTGGTGGCCATCACTGCCTACTGTGGGAGGGAGTTCCACAGTCTGACTATGCACTGCATGAAGGACTTTTTTTATGTGTCCCGAATCTTCCAACATTCAGCTTCATTGGATGTGCCCAACTTCTAGCATTATGACAGAGGGAGGTTTTCTCTACACCAGGCATAACTGTGTCTACTTCCAGCATGCCTTTTTTTTTATTACATTTTCTCTAAACAACAACAACAAAAAAGCCCCAAAATGTTGCAACCATTCCTCATAGGGGATTTACTCTATCCCCTCAACCATTTCCATTGCCCTTTCCTGAACTGAAAAGTCTGGTGGCATCATTATAGAGGACTTGGGTGATCCAGCTCCTGTGAATGAGAAGGGAGGTGGGGTTTTTTTTGGGGGGGGAGGTTGTCTGGGAGTTCTCAGTTTCCAGCCTCTTTGGTTTACCAAAATGATATTTAGTGGGGTGGAATCCCCAGGGACACAGTGGAGAATAAGTCTGCTTGTTGGGTGGTTGTGAAGCTGCTGATCAGTGGCTAAGTTAACTTCCATGATCAGAGGAAGTGGGCCACTGAATGCATAATCCACAGCAGCCATTCTATCTGGCTCTATGAGAGGAAGAGAGCTGGAATTATAGTACCTCTCCATCTGCTCTCCTGGAAGACCAGCTACTTTTGGCTCCTTCTCTGCTTGAAATTTTTCCATTCCAGATGGTCTTTACAAGAACTCTACAACTAAGAAATAATTCCTGAGTTGTTTTTTCTTCTTCTTCTTCTTCTTCTTCTTCTTCTTCTTCTTCTTCTTCTTCTTCTTCTTCTTCTTCTTCCTCTGCTTCTTCCCTCCCATTCCTTTTTCCTTTTGTGTTATGTAGGTTTGGATAAAAATGCTTTAAAAAAGAAGAAGAAGAAGATAGTACTGGGTGTCAACAGGAGCGGCAGGCTGTTGCCTTCTTTTCAAATAATTTTAGTTGAAGTTTTAAAAGTATAAGAAAAGGAAAAAATTACAGAAGAAAAATGAAAAAGAGATGAGAGGGAGAAGATACCCAAATAGCAGCATTATATAGCATCCATGCAGGCATAGAACATGAGTACAGCAGAATATTGCCAAGGTTTAACAAAAAACTTGCGCATTTTGAGAAAAGAAAATATGTTGAACGTGTGGTGGATCAAACAAAAATTTAATTAATCTTAATTTCCATGCTTATTTATCATATATACAACATAGTAATAGAGAGATGATAAAAATGAACTATGATAAAATAAAATAGCATGGGCGTGTTGTATCTTATTGAGTGTAGTTTCATGTAACCCATATTGTAGAATAAGCTGCTAGAGGGCAGGGGTGCCCTGTGCCATTTCACATCCTGAGGCAAAATGGGAAGGTGCCACACCACCACTACTACCCCAACTTGCTGCTGCCCATTCCTCATTGAAGCCTTGTTTGCTGGGGTCATACGGCTGCAGCTTTCAGGTTCCAACACGATCTCTCAAGAGGAGGTCTATGAGATCTCGCTGGGTTATGAAAATGATATACAGGTGGTACATGACCCCAGTCAAGCTTGCAAAAATCTATCATTTGCCCGATAATAAATGCTGGAAATGTAAAGAAACTGAAGGTACATTCTTTCACCTTTGGTGGACGTGCCCAAAGATTAAGGCTTTCTGGGAAATGATATATAATGAATTGAAAAAGGTATTTAAATATACCTTTCTGAAGAAACCAGAGGGCTTTCTTCTGGGCATTGTCGGCCAATTGGTGCCAAAGAAGGACAGAACTTTTTTTATGTATGCTACAACAGCAGCAAGAATACTCATCGCAAAGTATTGGAAGACATAAGATCTACCCACTCTGGAAGAATGGCAGATGAAGGTGATTGACTACATGGAATTGGCAGAAATGACTGGCAGACTCCGAGACCAGGGAGAAGAGTCGGTGAAAGAAGACTGGAAGAAATTTAAAGACTATTTACAGAAATATTGTAAAATTAATGAATGTTAGAAGGATGTTGGATAGAAACTAAGTGGTTTCCAGCTGTAATGCTTTAAGAGATATGAAAAAAAGGTTCACAAATGGGTAAAAGCTTAATGGTAAGGATTTGCTGAACTAACAAAATGAACTGGAATACAAAAAAGGGAGGTACGAGGAGGTCCGGGGAAATAAGTGTAAGGAAGATATGCTATGGAAAATTAATGTGTTTTTAACTGTTTTTATTTTGTATGTTTCTTTTTATTTTTCATTTCTTTGTTATATTTTCTTGTATTTTTACTTTTTGTTTTGTGTAATTCTTGTATTCTTTGAAATTTTAATAAATATCATTTAAAAAAAAGAGAGAGATCTCGCTGGGACCTGGGAGCCACAGCCATGTCTCCTCACTTCTCCCGTGGTAAGAGTTGTTTTTCAGTGGAACAGACTCCCTCGAAAGGTGGTGGGCTCTCCTTCGTTGGAGGTTTTTAAGCAGAGGTTGGGTGACCATCCGTCAAGGACCCTTTAGTTGTGATTCCTGCATTGCACTGGCCTGGACTGAATGACACTTGAGGTCCCTTTCAACTCTACAATTATATGATTCTATTATTGTCAAAGCACACTGGGAAATGTAGATCTGTGATGGCAACTGGGTGTGTGGGGGGCGTTCTAAGAACTCTCAGTACCGTTAACCCAATACAGTTTCTATAATTCTTTTGAGGAAGCCATTGACAATTTAAAGCATCATCATAGTGGTTTCACTACATGGTGTGAATGTGGCCTAAGTGAGCCACACTTTGATCCAGCAAGGTGCTCCTTCAGGTTGTTAAGCGAGAGTGCAGACTCAGCATCACTTCATACACAGAGATCAGTTCTAATGCCTTAATTCTTCAGAGAGTTTCAGATGTAAACTCCTGTTTTGTATATGTAGCTCACGTCAGCAGACCGGGAGAATTCAAGTGAAAACAGAAAGCAGAACATGCCTTAGAGGAGTGGGAAATTGATGGCCCTCTGGATGATGTTGGACCAGTGAGTGTGGCCAATCAGAGATGATGGGAGTTGGATTCCAACAACTGAGAGAAGCAGGAATGTGTGGCTCTCCAGTTGTTGATGGAGCCCCCAGCTCCCATCAGTCTCTACCAGCATGGCCAATGTTCAAGTATGATGGGAGTTATCAGAGCATCTACTTTGAATGCAGAAAGTGTCAGGCTCTAACCCTACCATCTCTTTCACTCAGTACATCGTTGAACCATGGAACTTGCTCCCATGGGTGGAAATGATGGCCACCAACTTAGATGGCTTTCAAAGAGGAGTAGACAAATTCATGGAGGATAAGGCTGTCAATGGCTATAGCCAGGATGCTTATGCCCTGCCTCCATGGTCGGAGGCAGCAATACTTCTGAATCCCAGTTGATGGAAATCACAGGAGAGGAAAAGGCTCTTGTGCTCATGTCCTGCTTGTGGGTTTCCAAAAATGGGCACCTGGTTGGCCACTGAGAACAGGATGCTGGACTAGATTTGCCCCCATTGATCTACCCTGATCATCTTTGTTTATGCTCCAGCTCCTCCTGACAAGTGAATGAAGTGGGCTTCTGTCCCAAAGTAACACACCTACAAACTCTCCTATCTTTGCAGTTGCTGATTCCTCCCTGATTCTTTATGTTGCAACACCAGATAACAGGCAGCAATGCTTCTGAATCCCAATTGCTGGAAGGGAGAGGGCTCTTGTGCTCAGGTCCTCCTTGTCTCAACGAGATGAACATTAGGTAGGCTGGTTCGCCATCACAGTCTAGGTCCACATAATCTCCACATCCCTATATCACAAGGGGACTTCCTCAGGCCTGGGATCCAAATGCAGCCCTCCAGGCCTCTCAATCTGGCCCTTTGTTACTCACCTTGGGCTACACCTTCTCAGCCAGACCTGCTCTCCCCAGAGTGCACCCTCCGTATGCACTTTTGGCTGCCTGGAAATGCTCCTTCAGACTCTTACCATGGCTCTCATGTGCCTCAGAGGATAGAGGAGTGGGAGTGATCAACTCCCAGCCGGAAACCAATGTCCCCACTGCGGAAGGACGTGTGGATCCAGAATTGGCCTCCACAGTCACTTACGGACGCGTTAAAACCGTGTTTATGGAAGACAATCTTACTCGGCTACGAGTACAGTGGTACCTAAGGTTAAGTACTTAATTCGTTCCGGAGGTCCGTACTTAACCTAAAACTGTTCTTAACCTGAAGCACCACTTTAGCTAATGGGGCCTCCTGCTGCTGTCGCGCCACCAGAGCCCGATTTCTGTTCTCATCCTGAAGCAAAGTTCTTAACCTGAAGCACTATTTCTGGGTTAGCAGAGTCTGTAACCTGAAGCGTGTGTAACCTGAAGCGTATGTAACCTGAGGTACCACTGTAATTGCCAAAGAAGAGAGGAGTGCATGAGAGTTAACAGAAAAATCAACTCAATACTGTGCCAAAGCAAAAATGTACACTTGTCGCTCTACGACACCTCACCTCTGCCCACCACACACCCTAGCATGTGGCCCCCGAAAAGGTTATCCGTATGGGAATGCAGGTCTCGGTCAGCAACAAAGTTCCTCATCACTGAGCTGCAATTCATGCAATTTTGGAAGCTATTTGCAGCAACACAACATTCAGCGTTTCATGGGGGCCCAGTGGTGATTTTCCTCCTGAGTTGAGGGTGAGGGAGCTGCTCCTAGCAAAGTAAACAGGTACAGGAGCATGGATTTGAAACCCTCTTTTCTTTTGGTAACAGCACAGCAGCATTCCAAAAACAGGCTTTTGCGCTCTCGCTCCCCCCCCCCTTTTTTTTTTTTTACTTTTTTGCTTGCTGGTGGTGTTGCCTGGGTTTCATCAGAAGAACCCAACACACGGAGAGAAAGACACAGTCTGTTTGTTTGTTGGTTCCCTCTCAGCGCACAGCAAAGAAGGAACTCAGATTTCAAGACCTCGCCCTAATCCTGTGGAGAGCCCCATCCTGTTCTTGTGCAACCGGGCTGCCGGGAATGAGGAAGTGGGGCAGACAGGGTGGAGCAGGGAGGGGGAGGAGCGGTCAAACTGGAGACAGGCTGCCTCTGAGCTGTGTTGCCTGGAAGGCTCTTCTCCGGGAGACGGCAGCGGAGGGAGGGAGGGAGGACGAATGTGCAGAGCCTCCGTGCTTAACTTGTGTGCGAGGCGCATTCCTCAGCACAGCCCGGATCTCAAAAGGCAGCAATTCGGGTTTGATTGCACAAGCGCGCGCACACACACACACACGCCCACAGCATTTCCTCTTATTTTCTCCACCATATGCTCCAACAGGCCCTTTTTACTTGGACAGTCCATAGTATTTTTTTTTTTGTCAATTTTGAAACAAAACTCTGCACATTATTCCAAATGTGGCTGCATGCGTACATACATTTAAAGCATTCCCACCACCACCACTACTACTATTCCAATGGGGGTGTGCAGCATGCAAGAAAGGAAATTCCTGCTTAACATCAAGAACAACTTGCTGGCAGTAAGAGCTGTTCAGCAGTGGAAGTGACACCCAGGAGAGGTGGTGGACTCTCCTTCCTTGGAGGTTTTTAAACCGAGGTTAGATGGCCATCTGTCTTGTATGATCTAGTTAAGATTCCTGCATTGCGGGGGAGGTTTAGACTAGATTATCAGGTACCACGAACTCTAGCATTCTAGGGTTTATTATTAATTAACCCAAATGGAGCTGAGTACAATACATTTAGGACGCGGGTGGCGCTGTGGGTAAAACCTCAGCGCCTAGGACTTGCCGATCGTCAGGCGGGGTGCGCTCCCGTTGTTCGGTCCCAGCGCCTGCCAACCTAGCAGTTCGAAAGCACCCCCGGGTGCAAGTAGATAAATAGGGACCGCTTACTAGCGGAAAGGTAAACGGCGTTTCCGTGTGCTGCGCTGGCTCGCCAGATGCAGCTTCGTCACGCTAGCCACGTGACCCGGAAGTGTCTTCGGACAGCGCTGGCCCCCGGCCTCTAGAGTGAGATGGGCGCACAACCCTAGAGTCGGACATGACTGGCCCGTACGGGCAGGGGTACCTTTACCTTTACAATACATTTAAATCATTATTATTATTTTCCAATAAGGCTGTTTACCAGACATTTAAAGCATATTCATTCATTCATTCATTCATTCAAGGGAAGTCATAATATGACTCTACCTCGAGTTAAGAACTTAATTCATTCTGGAGGTCCGTTCTTAACCTGAAACTGTTCTTAACCTGAGGTACCACTTTAGCTAATGGGGCCTGCCGCTGCCGCTGCGCTGCTGCCATGCAATTTCTGTTCTCATCCTGAAGCAAAGTTCTTAACCCGAGGTACTATTTCTGGGTTAGCAGAGTCTGTAACCTGAAGCGTCTGTAACCCGAGGTACCACTGTATTCTCCCTTGGTCAGACCACACCTGGGGTCCTGTGTCCAGTTCTGGGCAGCACAGTTTAAAGAACATTCTGACAAGCTGGAAAGTATGCGGAAGAAGATGATCAAGATGATGCAAGGGTTTTGGAAATCAAGTCTTGCAAAGTCTGGAGGTTCTCCACCCCTATTAAAAGGTGGACTTGGAATATTAGTCAATTGCCTTGTAAATGATGTGTGAATTTTAGCCTATCGCTCCCCACCATCATGCAGAACAGGTAGGAGACTTGCAGAAGCAAGAATATCGTGACTTTGGCCCCCCCTTGGGTCGATTGTGGCAAAAGGGCTTTGCGAACAGATTCACCCCACCCCTACGCTTCTCTGGGTAATGTGGCAGCAATATAAACAAGCAACACAGAAGCCACCTATAATCTAACAGCTGTCCCTGACAGCATATCCTGTCATTTCCAATGAGGTGTTCCACCTCCTGGTGAATATTCACTTTGTCCTCACTTCTGGTCCAGCCCAACTATGTACTAGCCAAGATTGGGGAACGGCCCCACTTAGGTGATAAAGCTGTCACTACAGATCATACATCCCAGGTCAATTTCTCTCTGGTGGAGCAAGCAAGTCCTCAGAGGGGAAACTGACATGACATTGATAGGATCTCATAGATGGCCGCTCTTGCGTTCTGATGTTCTACCTTCATTGTAGGAGGCAGTATGTCTCTGAACAGTAGTTGCTGGAAACCCCAGGAGGGGAGATTGCTCTTGCACAGTTCTTGCTTGTGGGTTTCCCATAAGCATCTGGGTAGTCACTCTGAAAACAGGATGCTGGACTAGGTGGACCTTTAACCTGATGCACCAAGGCACTTATTATGTTCTTATGATCATGCATGCAGATCCGGCAAACAGAGGAAGATTTCCTGACATGTGAACCCCAGTGGTTGCAAGCCCTGAGAGAACAGCTGTTTCATTTCTGCCCA